TTGTGTAGTAGAGAGATATGGAAAAATTAAATACGCGGCCTTGTATACGTTTAATAACGCCATGCGTCCTATTACAAGTTATACGTCTAAGCAGGTAATGTGGTCTGTTTAGAAAGAATAGGAAACTACATATCCGGCGCACGCGTTGGACGTTATTGATATAGATTCAATAACCTATCTTTTATATAATTGGAGAGTTTATATTGGTTAGTTCCTATTTCATTTTCGATAGAGTTATGTTGACTTTTTAATTATCTATAAGTACCGCATACTCTAGGAACTTGCTCTTCGATATGGGCAAACTTCATGAAGATGAATAAATCAGTTGATTTTTTTTAACACATAGTTTCTATAACCTCAGAAAAATATTCACCTAACGATACATCTGAACTCTCTGCGACAAAGAACTCTACGAGATTGCGGTTTGACCGACCATAGCGCACAGCTTATCTCGGTAATAATGTCAGCAGCTCAACACGGTAAGTAACGTTAGTTATATTAAAATTTAAGATCGCGCATACGTTTAATTGTCAAAGATAGCGATACCGCGTTGAGATACCGCGTAATGTCGGGCGAGGACATATACTTTTTCAGGGAATCTGCTATGAACTAGACTGCGTTACGTTATCTAAAAGGTGGTTGTTCGGGACACAGTATGGGCAACACCAATGCAATGCGGGGCAAAAAATGTGCTGAGATGGATGTGCAATATGATTATAATAAGCTGTTATTTTAGATGTTCCGTTCATATTCAATTTTTCGCTTAGAATTAGCTCGAAAATTAGTAACAGATAAATTTTCTGGTTGAGATTAGCAGATTAAACTGTAAGCAGTTAACTCGTGCTCATCAACACTTTGTACTCCTAGTGTAAGCGTATAAAACTTTTAAATAATTGCGATTTCAACGAAGATAAAGATGATAGAGGATGCTAATGAGCATCAGCAGCTCGAATTGCGAAAAGAGCACCACCTAAATTTACTCTACCGCCATAGTGCAGTCTGCGGGGCAATGAACGACGATTTTCTAGAAAATAGACAGGAGGAACGGTGTATGTACTAATGCTCGATATAGCGTGGCGTTTTGATTATTCCCATTGACTATAATAACGTAGAATATTAGTTCGACTCATTATACGCAGCAAGGAGTACGGCTCCCCGTAACTATTTGCCTTTAACGTATTAGAGTAAACTAAAGTATATACTGGTACAAGTATATATTAGAGTGTTTGTTACACAGATACTTAGCTATGGTCTGTAAAGTGTTCCGATAAATGTTTCGGGCACAGTGAAAGCTTTTGAATTAGAAAGAAATTCGGTGGAGAATACCATGGTATATATTGTATCAGGCGTTGAGCCACTTGCATTAAAGATTTTGCGAGATTGCGCAGCTGAGAGAGTATGTGTTGAGGTTGTTTCATTCGTTCACACAGCACACGCGGTAGTAAACAAGGTATGGTTTCACAGCTAAGAGAAATTTATGAGAATAACGATACGACGCCGGTTTGAGGTCTATTTAGGATTAGGCATATTGAAATGCAAATGCCGCTAAATAAAGTTTGATATTATCGCAGTTCTGTATCATATAGGTATAATTTTCCCGACAGTTAGTGTTAATCCACAATACATTTCAAATCATTAGGAACTAGAGTAGGCTGTTATGGTTAATACATTTATGATCAAATGATCCGATATTCGAAGTATAAACAGTAAGTTATATGTGCATCTGGTTTTTGCCACGTGGAATCTAGAAAAATATCGGCGTAAGAACAAGATGCAGAACGGTCTTCCGCCCATGAAAGTTGGTTTGGCATCCTATTTGGCAAGGGCTAATGCATCATAGTAGAATTACGTTACGCGCGGTACTGTTCTAGTAACGTGTCTTGGGTATGTTACGTTGGGCTGTAAGTTTCTCAAGAATCTCCAAGACCCGCACTTCCCTTATTTCTTGACCCTATTCCATTTGAGTCTATTGTTCCCTGTTAAGATTAGTTTGCGATCTTTACAGGGTACAGAAATGAGACAGCATTATATCAACTCTGTGATGAAGGTGTCTCAATAGACGAAAATGGGCTGTAACCGTAGGTCTGATTGTCGACTCTAATAGTTAACTGTGTCAAGGTTGTGAAGGCTCGAGCAAGATGAAGGACCATGGTTCGATGAAATGATGATTTTGTGTTGTGTGTCTTCAATGTAAATTATTAAAAGTGAGATCTTAATAACTATAGTTTTTATTCTTACATTCCAAAAATCTCTCTTTTTGACAAATTTCAAAACATTTGTTTGATATTTCCATAAATTGGTAACATAGAATTACCGTATTATACCGTGTGTCCCAGGGAGATTGTATCATAGGGAAACAGAATTAATGTATTTTTTCGCGAAAGATCAAGGAGCCCTTTGATATTTATTGGAAGCAATGAATAAATTGGAAGTTAGCGTTCAAGGTACGTTACTGCGCTTGCCTCATGCTAGAAAGAGATTGGAGTAGTACGTTAAAGCAGGCCTTCCCACGTGCATTCATTTCATCGAACTTGGAGTGTACACTCCTGCAAACAGACCAAGTTCGAACGTGGAAGGGGTCATCGCGCAAAGTTTGCATCGTTCTTGGTGCGGAAGCTAAGAGTTTTGCCAATTCTAAATTCTTGGCGCGCGCGTGGATGTGGTTGTCGCTCTGGAGTTAAGACATAAGTGAGATAGATTTACGCATTGTAGTATATATGAGGAACCGAAAACGGATATCGTTGTTTTCGCGTGCACAATCGTACCTGTATTTGTTCGCCAAGTTTGTACGAACTATGTGCGAACGTGGAAGTGGTGTTTCAACATTCTGTCCCAAGTTCGAAGACATGGCGTTAATTCAAAGTTCGATGAAATGAATGCACGTGGAAGGCCTGCTTTAAACGCTAATTTCAAAGGCCTCGTGGATCCTTCACGAAAAAATACTTTGTTGTTTCCCTATGGTGCGTTATATCTGGGACACACAGCACACTGCATATTATGTTTAATGAGTGATCATCGAGAACTCTTTCTAATTTCTGTACTCCATGAAGCATTTAAATGATTCGGCATCCTTTGAACTGCAAGGATCAGACTCTGGAGTCTAGTAATCACCCGCCTGGGATATTTGGCTTTGCAACAGAAAAATGGCCCACCACTACCACCACGACACCCTATGATAGGGGCGATCCGTTAATACCTATAGTTAAAGTTGGTGTAACATTTTCGTAAAGTAGCTTGAGTAATGAGTACCATCGAAGATTAGAGAACCAAGAATTTTCAGATCAATTTATATAATCAAGTTACCCAATTCGATAGGCAACCTCTCATACACATTTGCTTTAGTCATAACGGGTATTTTTCACCTATGAGCCGACCTTCGATCATACAATGTATGATCGAAGGAGCCGACTATCAACTCACGATAACTTCAAGGCGGTTAGTGTTTTGTTACAGGTCTGTGATTTGAGCTGTTGCTCCACGTTTATTAACAACTGTTGAAAAATAACAGCTTAATAACCATAATAGCCATTCAGTTTGGAATTTAAAAGTTTTTGTTTACATTGTTCTTATATATCATTTGAGTTCTTTTTGAATTATTTTTATCTACGACTGTAGTAAGTTTACACTTTTAAGTAATTAATACATGCATTCATTTTAAAATATTTTAGAATAATATGGAAAGCAAATCTCATCGAAGAAGATCATCCCTTTGGAATTCATTTACCTTGGTAGATAATAAATTAGCATCGTGCCACTATTGTGAGCAGACGTTTTCCCATAAGACATCAATCAGCAATTTAAAGCAACATTTAAAAAGAAAGCATCCGTTTGTGTTGAAGTCAGACAAGGATCAGGTCATTCAAGTGGTTACTCCCGTTGAAACTACATCAATATCCGACGATTCATATACTCTTTTATATGTGGTTTCTGATGACGAATCCAAATCGTCCATGACTCAGGTTCAAGAATCCGAGCTCCCTACACATGTCGTAAAGCAAGCTGAACAACCACTTCCAGAAATTGCCCCATTGGAAGATTCGGAAGAGAATGATGAAGGACAGTCAACAATGAAAAGGTCCACGACGTGGAGGTACTTCACGCAAAAGAAGAAAGGAACAGCGCAGTGTAATTTTTGTCGTAAGGTTCTTTCATATAAAACATCGATAAGTAATTTGAAAAAACATTATCAAAAAAAACATAGGTCAAATGGCAAACCTACCCTAAAAGTAAAACCAGCCAGTTCGTCGAGCAATACGACAGTACATTCCACCAATATTAATGGTGGAAATCATATTCAAAGTGCCCATGCTTCAGTAGGGAGAAAAACACGACCCAATGCAAGTTCAAGTAAATATGATGATCAACTTATTAAAATGTTTACCGTTCACTTACTGCCAATTTCGATGGTCGAAGGATTGGGGTTTCAAGGATTTTGCCGTTCATTGAATTCTTCCTATGCGCTACCGACCAAGAAGAAGTTAACTACAGAATTGATTCCCGCCAAATTTGAAGAGCTCACCGTAAAAGTACGTGAGATTATGGCAAAGGTTAGATCAGTTACGCTTACGACAGATTGCTGGACGTCGTACAGCAACGAGAGCTTCACTAGAGTGGTGGGGCATTTTATTAACGAGGACTTTGAAAGCAAATCTATTTTGTTGAGCGTTATGGCGTGCGATTGGCCTGTGTCGGACAAATTTTTGGGCGAATTACTGGAACAGGTTAAGTTTCTTTTTTAAATTTTCTTGCAAGCTAATTTGTATTATGATGCTGTGATGAGTGATGTATGTAAGTAGGTACATATAAAATGCAGAAGTGGATAAAATGAATCAAACAAATGATTCAGGATATGTTAAGTAAAGATTAGTAGCACAGATTATCCTACACAGTTACACACTACCAATGACACTACCTACTGTATGTAAAGTAGTGTGTTTTGTAAAATGGTACACTTTTTGAATACAGTTACAAAACAGTACAATAGGTAGCGCAGGAAACAGTGTTTAAGAGGCTTCTATACCAGCCCAAACCCTTATTTAAAAGTGTTTCGCGCCGTGCCTGTTTGTTCTTAAAGGAAATGTAATAATGCTAAAATTCAGTGATTATCATGTTTATAAAGGTGAGATCTAGGATTGTATCTAATTGTATTTTAAATAGTAACTTCAAATCATACGATACAGAGCGATAAAGAATTGCTATTTTAGACAATATTCAAAGGGTCGTAGATCTTAAACAAAAAAAATTGTAGCAAAACAAATTCGATACAATCCTAGCTTTAGCCTTCCTATGGTAAAATCCATTCACAGCCATTAAAAAAAGTTTATTATATACCAGTAAACAGACACGACCCGGGACGCTGCAACTGTAAAATTCTAGCAAAATTTTATTAGAAAAGTGAGACCACGTCTTGCGGAATTCAAACTTAAGTTACGTGTTACTGCCCATTTGATAAAAGGAGGAGTTCATTCTTATCTTTCCAACATAATTTTAAATCTACCGGTGTTCTTAGCAAAATAATTTTCTTTGAATTTGAACATGAACCCTTTAGGAAAGTAGGCACTGCTTACTAATACGTACAACAATTGAAGTACGACATCTCCTATCTCTGTGAATAGACCTTATAATGCAACAAAATATCCCTGATTTTCCGTTTGTCTCTCCGTTCATTTGTCTGTCTACGCACAGTAAAACCTTGCTCTTAGATCACCTATCGATTGCAGGTTGTCGATGTACCGTTGCTTAGGCTGCGTTTAGTTGTGGGAAGTTTCAACAACCATTTGTGAAATTAAAGTTTTGGGTGCTACCTCACGCAAATTTTGTGAAATATTGCCATTATCGAAGTGACAGGTTGCATAATCATTTTACTTGCGAATCGGTTGAGTCGCAGTGGTAAAAAACTCTACTCAATTGAAAACAAATTGACTAAAATGAAATTGAAAAAATAAAATTTGGAATGTAAGAAAAGATTTTCTTCAGTCACAGCGATTTTACATACATTTAAATTTAAACCATTTCCTAAATTAAGTTGGCTCACACAATTTGAAAATTAAAACATTAAAATCTCTAGTTCTAACCTACCTTAATTTCTTTAAAACAGTAGTTCTGATGATCAAATATGTATTTGGCTTTTGAAATTTCTCGTCTCCCGAATGTTGCGCAAGGTAAAAACCCTTTTAATTCTTATAGTAGGACTTTGTGTTTTATTTTAGGATCTTTTGTATCTATATAGTGTCAATTCCTCTCTTCTTCCTTTTGGGGGTTTTCGATTGATGTTCAACTGTTCACAAATTATTGCAATTCATACATTGCTTTGCAAAAAAGTAAGTTATGTACCTACTTAATTTCCCATCTTTCTACAAATGCCCATAAAAAAGCAGAAGGGTAAACAGATACTATAAGATAAGTCATGTACAATTTGGCAGATGTACCGTGTGTCCTATTTTGGTTGAGACTGCAGTGTATCTGAGCGGTTTTCGCGACCATGTGCCACTTTTTGTGAAACTTTTAATACCACAAATCAGAATCATAGTATCTACGTTTGTGTCTGAGATACAAGGTGAAAAGTATGATTTTTTGAGATGTTATCATAAATCTTACCATGTAAGATAGAAAAAAGTAAAAACTGTCAAGTTTAGATATTTTTACGTTGAATCTAGTGGCATAGTAAAAAAATGTGTGAAGCATTGTTTCTGAGATTTGACCCAAAGTTCATATTTTTTTAATGCAGCACTCTGTATATCTTAACATTAATTGTGTTTCATTCTTTTTTCTGATTACATGGTTGTATTACAATCTAAATTTTTTTAAATTTTAGCTATGCACCAAAAATAAAAACCTTATTTTTTACGGTTTTTAAATGGTAGACCATGGATTCACGGAGATTAATCCTAAGGTTTTAAGGCCAATTTTTTTCAGTCTTTTTCCTGATTACATTTATGTATCACAACCTATACTTTTTTATATGATTATATATTATATTACATATTTTTCAAGATTTTGAAATGACATGCTTCTACCGCTAGCGATTTTTATCGATTGATTTTACTTACCATGGATACAATTAACAAAACAAAATCTCAATAAATCCTACCAACCATTTAAAAACCGTAAAAAATAAGGTTTTTATTTTTGGTTCGTGGCTAAAATTTTAAAAAAATATAGGTTGTCAATGTAATCAGAAAAATGAAGGAAAAACAAATGCTATTAAGATATACAGGGTGTTGCATTAAAAAAATGCCAACTTTGGGACAAATTTCAGAAACGGTGCCCCAAGAATTTGCTGTGGCTAGCACAGATACCACCCACGCACCTGTACATGTTCAGTTCGGCCCTTTTATGTATAAGAGTATAGGTACCAAATTTGGATCCAGTCGGTTCAGCCGTTTAGCCAGAAATGAGAATTTGAAACACTTGCGCATGGGGGATACTGCCCAAAAGATTTTCAGTTCTTCCTTTTATGTTAATGAATAGGTGTACGGCAGGCATGTCAAACTCATTTATCATCAAGGGCCGTTATATAAAGTTTCCACTTATAGCTGCGGACATCATAAAATGCCACATAAAAAAATTTTGATTTTTTATTATTAACAAAAAAGTATACCAAATAATACAAAAAACGAAAAAATGCAAATCATAAAATCATTAGTACGCACTCAAGAAAATGTACTGTGTGTCCTATGTTGGTTAAGACTGCAGTGTATTTCAGCTTTTAAAGATAAGAGACTTGTGGTTTTCGCGACCCTGTGCCACATTTTTATGAAACAATACCACAAACAGAATCAATCCAACTACGTTTGTTTCTGAGGTCTGAGATATAGGGTGAATATGAAAAATTGGACTTTTTGTGATTTTGTCATATCTGACTACCCATGTAAGATAGAAAAAATGTAAAAACTGCCTATTTTAGATATTTTTATGTAGAATCCAGTGACGTAGTAAAAAAATTTGGACAACAGTTTCTGAGATTTGACCCAAATGTGATATTTTTTAAATGCAACACCTTGTATTGTATGTTAACATCAATTTTGTTGCATTCTTTTTCGTGATTACATTAATGTATCATCCTATATTTATTTACCATTTTTCAAAATTTTGAAATGACGTGTACCGTCAGCCATTTTTGTTGATTGAAATCGACTGCTGTAGTTACAATGGAGACAATAAACGAAACAAAATCTTCATGAATCCATGGCCTACTATTTAAAGAAGTAAAAGATAAGGTTTTTATTGTTTTATCGCTAAAATTAAAAAAAAATAGGTTGTGATACATCAATGTAATCAGGAAAAGGAATGATAAGAAATTGACGTTAAGATATACATAGTGTTGTATTTACTAAATATAAACTTTGAGTCAAACCTCAGAAACTTTTCGTTTTCACCTTGTACCTCAGAAACTAACGCAGCTAGATTGGTTCTGTTTGTGGTATTATACGTTTCACAAAACCGCAAGTCTATCTTTAAAAACAGCTGAGATACACTGCAGTCTCAACCAAAATAGAACACATAGTAGGTACAATTAAATTTTATCATTTACCAAAATCGTGATGGGCAGCAGGTTTCAGAACGAGGGGCCGCATGTGGCCCGCGGCCCGCGTGTTTGTCATGCCTGGTGCACCAAATTTGACTCCAATCGGTTCAGGCGTTTCGCCGGAAATGAGCGTACAGACGGACCGACAGACCAACATCATCGAGATTTTGTTTGATTCGGATTCCTGGTGCTTCAAAACGTGTATTTTCGTTAAAAGTGGGGGGTCATTTTTTACCCCAATGCCCTTACATGTGCGGGTGGTAAAAACAGCAATCAGTTTGGTCAGTATTACGATTTACGAAAGTTACGTAAGTAACAAACTTATTCATTGCTTATCCACCTGACGTTCCGACACGACACCCCTTCACTACACGAGGAAAATTAGTCTTAGTACTGGGATGAGATGTGAAGATCTATGAAATCTGCACCAAAATGGAGGTTGCGCATACCTATCTTAGCCTTAGTTATATGCGTGTGTGTTCCAATTTTTTTATTAAGATACATTTCACTAGGTTCGGGCGCTGAATATTCTTTACATTTGTTTTTCCATTTTTACAAGTCTTTAAAGATGAGAACTGCTTAGTTCCAAACTGAGAGTATCGGGTATGACACCAAAAATTTGTACCAAAATAATTTTGTGTAATCGTTATCAGTATCATGCAATTTTAGTAGTTCTACACTTTTTCACGTTGTAGGTAACGAAGTTGGGTGCACTATTGCAGCCGCGTTCTCTGTCCGTCCTTCCAGAGCCTTAACTACTATACTACTACAGTTTTCAATATATTTAGTTTGTTCTTTTTATATTCGGTAGTTATAGCTTTGGTCCAAGAAAAATCTTGACGATCATTGTGCGCATGCGCAAGCTGTAAACTTTCTTGTTTATAGAGAGCTTTCCTAATTCTAGAAATATTTTTTTGAAATTTTTACTATGACAAAGACAAACTTATCGTAATTAGTATAAATCAGGTGTGGGCATGCGCAGTATGCGCAATTCCAACTTGCGCATTTATGGAGGTATTGAAATTTTAACCAAGGATGTACTTACTAAAGACAAACACACACAGAAACTTTTTACTACTAGCGAATAGCACGTTATATATTGTCAACCCGAAAGCACAATCTTTTTAATGTTTTTGCAACAGTGTCCTCAAACTTTCTGCATGTACCATCAGATATGTGCCACGTCATAGCTTATATACCGGAACGCCAGAGTGATGCTTCGCAAAATGAGTTTTGAAGTTCTCGAACTTCATACCACCTATCAGTTGATGTCACGCTCCCAAATATAGATCAGTGTGGGCGGCGCACTAGACACCTCGTATAATTTTGCTAAATCAGAAACTTTCGCGAGCATAAGTCCAACCAATGTTTCATGATTGGTTTAGGCAGGAATAAAAGACATTCGTTTTTATTATATAGATAGAAGATGTGCTACAACTATTTTTGAGTTCTGTTTTACTGTAATAATAATATAATATATTTGCAGAAAAATGTATTTTGATCACCATACCGCTGTGAAGTTGCTAGCCATGCATGGGTTTAATAATTGTTTGAAACGATTATCTGGTCTTTATTGGCACCAGGCCATAATTTCTTTCCATTAACCTTCTACATGCTTGGGTTGATATTGTCGCCTTTCAAACAGCTTCTCCAAGTGTGTACCAGGAGCCCGTTGACAAATTTTGTTTGACTCGAATTTCTTACATTTTTTTCGGTTTTGTACGAGTACTGTTCTCAATGTGTTCTTCATCGATTTGGCCAAGGCTGCACTGTTTTTGCATTTCACGTGTTCATGAGTTGATCATCTTCGGTTGAATACACCCTCGATCTCCCTACACAATTTTCACCTGCTGGAAGATGTACTAGACTACTTCTGACGCAAAACGTTTCTAATCCGTAGCATATCCAAATGGGAACGATCTACAACCATCGTTATAAATGCCAAATGGGTAACAATAGAAATTGTCAACAAGCGCAAAAATAATGCATAACTGTTGGCAATAGTCTGGGTAAGGGTAGAACATACAATCTACTCCACTTCCATGCATTGATCAGTGCTTTTAAAAGATTATTGGAGATATATTTTTCTCTACAAGAAGCATTTCTAGTTAAAATTTCAAAGAAATATATCTCCATAAATAAGAAAGTTGGTACTGTGCATGCGCACATCTAATTTTTACTATATGCGATATGCTTGCCTTTACCAGAAGCATCTGTGGATATTTCAACAAAAATAAGAAAGGCAACATGAGTTGGGAAATGCGCTAAAAAAACAACTCAAAAGTGTATGTCTAGTAGTTTATAAAAACAATAACTTGATTGATTGGTTGTGGAGAATGAACAGCTGTAACAAGTAGAAATGCAAAATTAATACATATTTTCTTTCTCTACGCAGGTTGTACAGGAGTGGGAGTTGAACGAAAAAGTTTTGATTGTCATTTCTGACAACATTACAGACCGTCAGGAGGAAGAATTACAATGGCCACATATAAAATGTCTCGCGAGTACGATCGATTCAATCGTTCAAGAATCTCTGAAACCCGTGGAAACATTCCTTAGCACATTATCAAAGATTGTTTCGCTTTTCAATGAAAATGTTGAAGCACAAGAGAAATTGACTTTCTTCCAGAAAAAAAATAACAAAGAGTCCGATAACCTGACACAACGCAGTCCCGAGCAATGGAACTCTGTGCTGTACATGTTGAAAAGTATAAAACACTATAAAGAAGAAATTGATGAATCCTTACGAGCGCTAGATGAGCCAGTTTTGTCCGACGAAGACTTCCAAATTGTTGAGGAACTCATACAGATACTCGATCCAATCGAGTCGGTCACAAAAGTCACGAATAAGAATATCACTTTATCATTGATAATAGTTTTAAGTAACAGCCTTCTTGATCATTACAACAGTTTAAAAAAGGAGACATCATTCTCTAGCGAAATTGAGCCTGTTGTCACCAAATTAGTAGACCACCTCAATGAAAGATTTTGGAACTTGGAATCTGTGCACACCCTGTTGATAAGTACTCTTTTAGATCCTCGATTCAAACACATCGGTTTCTCCGATCACACTTTCGTACATAAAGCCAAATTATTAGTGGAGGATAATCTAAATTTGTTATATGGAGATACAACGGAAAAATCCAAATCTGTTGCATTGGATAGTGAACCGCTTCTCATTTGGAATTCCTTCGATAAAAAGGTGGCGGACACGTCAGTAAGCTTAGGAAAGTCGAAAGCAATCACTGAGCTTGATAGATACTTGGAGGAGCCTCTATTGAATCGGAACGAGGATCCTTTACAGTGGTGGAAAGTTAACGCTTACAACTTCCCTTGCCTTAGTAATTTCATTAAGATGAAATTTGGTCCGATTGCCTCGGCTATATCTTGCAAAGGTAGCCCGACTTTAATAGAGCGTCGAAATACCTTAACGTGTAAAAGAATTAACGAAATTATGTTTATTGGTCAGAATTTTGATGTTGGGGAAGGATAGGGGAATTTTGTTATGGCCAGACTAGGAAGGTGGTTATGACATTGCAGAACGGCAAGCTGCGGTTTAACAGCTTTGCACAAGGTGAAAATTACATTATGTACCAGAGGAAAAATAAAGAACTTATATTTTTTATAATAAAAGAATTATTGTTAATTTGATTTATATTATAAAATAATGACCTTATAGTTACTCTGATAAACCGTGTGTACTTATACCCAAAATTCCCTAAGTAGCCTTTATTTGTAGTATGCATTATAACCACCAGAAATCCCAGTAGTGTGATAACTTGCCAGACATGTCTTACACATTCTCATGTAGCCTTGATAGCTGCTGCTAAATGGCTCCACATAGACAGCATTTGTAAAAAGTTAGACAAAAGACGTTATTAAAGACTTGTAAATAAATGTGCCTTAGTAGTCAGTTCATTCTGTTAGAATGTTACTGTCTGCGACTTTATCTCAAAGTGAGCGCTTTTTTATCTTATAAAAAACCGTGCGGTAGTTTAATCTGCATTAAAATCAAATGGAATGATTCTCGCTTTTATTTCTTGAATTGTGTAACCTTTTTACATAAATTGTGGTGACATACCCCTACAGTTAGGCAACACACCTGAAAGTATAGCGCTATGGTAAAAACTACGAAACGCTCTGTATACAATAATCGTGATGTGCTCGACTTCGACCATTCTACTATAATAGGAAGAGTCGACTAACCATTTAAATACATCTCGAAGGAAGTACCTCATACAATTCCATATCATGTTGCTTCCTTCCTCGTGCCCGTTGCCTGATGGGGGTTCCTCAATTTGACATTTCTTCTGATTAGTATGTGGTTTTGTTTGTGATAATCGACTTTAACGTGAATACTGCTGCGTTTTCACCTGCACTTTTTTGTATCAATTGGTGGTCGCCGAAGCTGAAGTAGAGCTATACCCTTTTGATGTTTTTTATGCACATGCATTTTATAATTTTGGGAGTTGTTTTATCTAAATTGATCGTAGATGTGTTACCATTCGTACTGTCTCTGGTGTTTCGTTTTATTCATTTGTTCTTGCTGCATTTGATTCGACTACCTGATTTTAATGGTAGGTACGATTGGAGATGTTTGATTTGTGCATTTTGTTGCAGTATTGATTTACCCGGCCCGTGTGGCGTAATGGAATTGAAGCTCGACTAAGGGCCGGTTCTACAATGCTAGTATATACCACGGATAAGCTATTCTTGGAGTAACATTCGAAATTTTGGTTCTACATTTCCAGAATAGCGTTATTCCAGGTATAAAATGGCGGATAAGTTATCCCTTTGAAATTGTTTGGATATACCAGGCATTAAAGTTATTCTCCCATTCTATTGGTAGCGGCTTTGTATGTCGTTCTCATTTGTCACTTACTTGTCAAGCTGACAGCACGTGTTTTTTGTGATTTTTTTATCAAAATCAAAATGAACATACATATTTTCGACTCTGAGGAAGATGACTGGGATGAGTTTGAGAACGGACATAATCCGAAAATGTTTAGACGTCGGTTAGCTGACGTTATTTTGCTTTACATAACTAGAATGCCTATTCGATGGTTTACAGGCCAAATTTCTTTGAAGAATATGCCGATTTGGAATTCTTTACACGGTTTCGTCTGCAAAAGCGTACATGTGAAATGCTTCTAGAAATGATTCAGGATAGAATTCAAAGTACCAGAGACAGAAATCATGCGATAACACCAACAACAAAGTAGCTCTTAAGTTTACGTTTTCATGCAACATGCTCAATTCAGTTGCAGATTTTGCAGGTGTTAGCAAAACCTCTGGCTGTGGCATTGTGACCCAGGTGACCGATGCAATCGCCTCTCTTCATAATAACTTCATAATACTTCCTACTAGACCCTTGAATTCTTCAACCAAGCTAACTAGCACATCTACTTCATCAGATGTAAAATTACTGCACCTTTTTTAGCCTCGCCACTTTCCATCATTTCTAAGACCCGCGAAATCAATACACAAATCACAAAAAATTCTGTAATCAGTACAAATGTCAGCACAAACTGAACTAATGTGCGTACAAATGAGCTACTCCCCGGATATACGAGGTATAGCTATTCTAGGGTGATCGGATGACTGTAGAACGCAACTCAAAAATTTAACCGAGTATAAGCTTATCCCTGGTATACCAATTCTCGGTTTTATTCTCGCATTGTAGAACCGGCCCTTAGGGTCCCTGGTTGGAATACGTGTTGGGGCATGAATCTTTGTAAATGTGTAGTAGGTTGTGTTGGTAGAGCAGCCTTGATTAAAACCCCGTCCAATTAAAAATAAAATAAATACATTTATGGTACCTGTATATTTTGCCTTTCTTCTCTTACTCTTTTCTTATGCACAGCGATAAGTTTTATTCAATTCGCTTACCGTTTATGTGTCTCGACACGTCCCAACACAAAAGGAACCGCAATAGTATGACAACGTAGAAGTGCGACGAACTTCGGTAGTTCGCACGCAATCAGACGCTGTAATTAGTTAAATCCAAAAATAAAATTTAATTAATTACAAAGAAATTATACATTCACAATTAAATATAACTGCGAATCAATTCCAACTGAAACGGAAGCTGGCTGAACAGGATACTGTAGACTCGGGCGCCACTAGGTGCATGCGAATAATCTAAAAAACAGAATTACGACCATTTTTTATGCGGAACGGAAGCACAGATTAATTTACGATAAACAAAATTCAGAGAAGCAGAACACGGCCCGCGCCTTATAATTAGCGATAGACAAATAGCAAACGCATGACTATACTTTTTCTACGAATATTTGGCAAAATTTAATGAAAATATTCAATCTTATCGTTTGTTACCAAATCAATTGCAGTTGAGTTATTTTATAAATATTTATTTAATTCCCGGGCGCCCTAAAAATCTAGGACATAGGTATCTCAAAATCTAAGTTAATTAATCGCGCTTCTGATGCCACTAGACCCAATCCAATCAGACGAGATTTGCTGCAACACAATTAATTAACTACCGTTAATTGTACTCATTCAAATTGCCGGGCTGAAATTTCCAAATCTCGTAATCCAATAATGCCCTTTACTTGGATTTCGGTTCAACCAAAAGGTGTGTTTGTTATCTACGTAACTGCACGCTACGACGACCTTGCTATTGCTTTTAATGCTGGTTTTGAATTACTATAGGAAAACTGAAATCATCTGATAATTAATTAAACGGAGCTGAAATCAAAATATTAATTTATCATCTTCTAAAAGACAACAGCTTTCGAATGCTACAAGAATAATTCCAATATCTACGGTCTCTTTTATTGTTGTTTACAGCAATTGACGTACGGTGCTGCAAATTAAAGCCATTGATTCTGCTTCATCACTCAATTTCCAACTCCTAGACAAATAAATAAGTTTAGAAGCTACGGTTTCCTTAGTAACGAAGCGCCCAATTATTCGTCCATGCATACAGGATGGTCGTCTCTGACTGCGAAAAGCAATGTTTAATCGTCACAATTATTGTTAATTGCTCAACTTTTATTATGTTGTGAAATTTTGTTTGTATCTTATTAATACTTACGTCCAACATGTGTAAGTAACTATTTTTCCTAAATAAATAAATTGAAACAGTCACCGGAATGAAAATTCTCTTAAAAATCAATACAGCTTTAGAGGTTCCACCCTGTATATACAATTTACGATGATACATACATTTTGGAGAGTTGGCAACCATGCAATTTCTAGGTGGGAAAAAAACTGCCTGCGCCACCTAGAGAGCACGAACGGGGGTTATGTTTGGCATCTTGTCTTGAATGGCGGTCGTGAACGTTTCGCTCCATAAATGTTTGTTGTTATTTTGTGTTATTTAATGCAGGTAGTAATTTTTTTCATTTCTTTATATCGTATTTGTGTTTTGTATGCCGCATTTTATATTTGTTGTGTGTTTGAATCTCTGTTTTTGAAATTTACTTTGTTTAACCGCAATGCAATCATATGTGTGATACCGTTATGCTATTGTTTATAATTGTTTACATTTTTGGTGTAATGTTTGCTTAATTTATGTTTATTGATGTTGATTACTTGGTCTTGTCCCTGAAGTTACATTCATGTAAGTTTTCATTTTATTTTAATATGTGGAAATTGCTGATTCGTTTGATGTATGTACTGACTTGTTGTTTGTTACTAACAATTTTCTCCGTGAATGAAGCAGTCACGGGAGGTGGAAAAAGAAACTGTAGTCTATAATTATGTGTTAGGGCACCTAATTCCGTGCACTGTCTTCGACATCCAACTGTAGGTTCGAAACCAGGGGCGGACTACCCATCTTGCAGGAGCGAGCTTACGCTAACCAAAGCTCTTCAGTTTAGAATCTATGTGCGTTAAATGAGTGGCGATTCAATAATTTCAACATATTTTGTTTTTAGTCCAATTTGCCTACAAGGCCATGTAATTTTCCATCTTGCTTTCAACAAAAGGACTTTATTGCACCAAAGATGAGTCACATCCTGTGTATTTCACTCTTTCTCAGAATCTTGGTACCTGCTTCTACCTGACCCATTGTCCCCAAAAACTTGTTTTAACCTTGAGTGTAACCAACATTGTGTATATGCATTTACACAATATTTACACTTATCTTTGTTAACTACTGCTTAAACTTTTACAAAATATTTTGTTAATTAACTTTTGGACTGTTTTAATCAAACTGCAAGGTTTTTCTTACGTCGTACTCTTTTTATCCTTGGCAGTGACTTTTGCGAGAGTACGACACCTTTTGGCTTTGTTTGTTTTGTTTATATTAATGTACATCTACTAAATTTCCGGGTTTTCACAATCATGATAATTACGATCATTATTAAACAAACTTTTTTTCACAATTTCAGTGTTTTATTTAAACGTTCCTTCCCTACTGTGCTTCAGGTCAAAGCGTTATCTATAACTAACGTAAGGGGGCCCTGCCTTAGATGTTTTATCACGTGCCACTTTTCAAATTTAAGCGGGATCTTGTTTAGTTTTAGAGGGAATAATCATTCGAGTGGCCATTTTTAAACGTTGCCGGGTTTATTTTATTTCCGTGTTCTTGTAGTGTGAAATTAGCGTAGAACCTGGGGGTTAAGTAGGTACACTACAAGCTTATGCTGAAACTTCAAATTGGTAGATGGCACCCAACTGGGGTAATCTAAGAAGCACAATGTGATGTATCATATACCTACCTCAATAGTTTTTTCTTTTTGAATTTTATCGTTCCCGCTTTTATGTATTTCATTAATAGAGAAAAACGCATGCTACGTCACTGAAAATATTTTCGCGGAAAGTGCAGCAATTCAAATTGCACAAGGACCAGGCTCGTCAGCAGGTGCACATCATGCATTCTTATTCAAGCTAAAAGGAGAAAGCTGCGCAGTTTTAGTTGAGAGGGCAGAATAATGGTAGCTTTCAATGAGCCAAAGCCAAAGGCGGGCGTCATGTGCACATCGAACCCAAGCCAAAACATGACTCATCTAATGGTAAAAACAAAACAAAACGGGTCGAATTCTGCTAACTATAACTTTTCACTTTTAAATCTGTACGGCAATATGAGAGATTCGCTGGTTACCAGATATATTGTTTCACTGTTGAATTTGCTCTGCTCTCCAAGACCATGTATTTTCGTTATACTTTTTCACAAAGGGTGTCATTGCTCCAAAGATGAGTCACGTCTTGTACAATTATTACTTCATTTTACACCAACCAATTCTTTGGTCAACTTGTTTTTAACGCGTTGTTTCTTCTATTAAAAGGGGGCCCTATTGAGATTCCGATCACGTGCCAATCCCTGATTCCAAATTTGATGTGGTTAGCCATTCCAGTGGCGATTTTTGGGCGTTGCTGCCAAAAACAGGAAAAGTTCTGCTTAGTAATGTAGATTTATAGGTAATGTAAAAGTAAAATACATATTGCTGTTGCCACGTATGTTTTCAGGTTGCGTAATTTTTGTATGCAGGGATAGGCCGTTTTACGCTATAGACGGTTCGTCTTTTATTTAAATTGTCATTAGATAAAAATGCGGATTTACTGCTTTCATTTAATTTGGTAAGACATTTTCAGCTGATAGGTGCAGGAGTTTTATTTGTGTACAATTTCTTTATCTTGCAAAAGTATTTGTTAGATTTTATTTTTCCCCTCAAATTCTGCCTCGGCATTTCAGTATTTGATATTTCGTGTTTGTCATAATGGGCAACCAGGCAAGAATCAAAACACCTTCACACCTGCACGATGTCAAATTGTTGGTATGATCTCCACATCCCTATTAAATATTTTTTATTTTTATTCTTTTGTGTGATTCAACTTGTATTGTCTTTTAGCGAAGATTTATTAGGTTGAAAATCAATTTATGTTAAATTAGCTAAGAACATGTTTTTTTTGGTATTTAATTAACAGGTGAATTCCGTAAATATATTATTACTATTATTAAATTGGTTAAGAGGGATAAAAAATTCTGTTTTTGACTTGTTACCATCATTAAAATAAGTAGGTACCTAGTAATAGTTCTTCCTCTGTGTTAAACTGATCAATTCTTTCATAAATAAATGGATGGGATATGCATCTTCATACATGCTTTGTGTACCAGGTGCACATTTCATCACAGCGATATCTGTGATAGAATAGTCTCTTGTCTTTTAAAGTAGACAGCTTCTCAGCCAATGCGGCTGTACCTAACAACTCAATACATTTAACGAGAATCAATGCCTAAACCAGGCAACTCCTCTGCCAAATTGTGATTCTCGTCGTTATTGTGATCAATTCTAATAATATGCCCTTTGAAGTTAGTTCTATTTACGAACTCCTGGAATCTTCTAGGAAAATTTAAATGAAAAATACAAAAAAGTAAATAAATGATTTTATTAAAAACTTTTAATATAATAACAAAAATAAAACACACAATAATTTGATCTTATTTAATAAGAGGCGGTCACTCAGAGCGACAGCGGGAATGTTCAGTTGGCCTACAATCAAAATGAACGTTAGCTAAGTCGAGTATCTGGACGAGAGTAACTCACTAAAACAGATGTCTGTTGCATGGACAAACTAGCCATGGCCGAAACAGTTTCTTTATCTTCCTTCTCGTTTCTAACCGCATCATTATATGAGCAAGTTGCACTTTTCGCTATCTCCTGCAGACACGGCCAGTGCAAGGATTGTATCGCGATAACCTTTTGCATGGTAATAACGGCATTGGTACAGGGGGGCCGGCACAGTTCATTGGTCGATATCGGTGAAGGTGGATCACCTAAAAGTACACGCACGCACTCCTCCGCCGCGTCGCATATGGAAGGGAGATCGTAACCGCCCTCCAAAGCTAAGACTACGCGTCCGTTGGCCAACTGCATCAGTTGCCGTGTCATATAACCGTAACAGGCAGGGGTGACCTTGTAACCGCCGAGGGGTGGCGCATGTCCGTCTGTTGCTGCGAATCCGGCGGAGACCAAAACAATATCTGGTCCAAACTCGCGTGCGATCGGCATTACTATTGTCCTAAATGCTGCCATATATTCAGCATCGCCAAGTGGTGGATTGAGACCACCAGACCAACCAATATTAATATTAAAACCTAATCCTGCCCCCGTTCCACATTCCGACAGACTACCGGTTCCTGGGAAAAAATTTCCATCATCATGCCGGTGTATTGATATGACAAGCACACGGGGATCATCATAAAATATCTCTTGAGTACCGTTACCGTGATGCACGTCCCAATCGAAAATGAGTATCTTATGAACTCTGTGTTCTTTTTGTAGCAGTCTTGCGGCGATTGCTACGGAATTAAAAAAACAAAATCCCATAGCTTGCTGAGGTTCAGCATGGTGTCCCGGCGGTCTGACCACGGCGAAACCGTTTCGAATGTCACCCGTCCACGTTCTAAATGCTAGATCAACAGTACACCCAACGGCCATTCGAGCTGCAGGCGCAGTATAGATTTCATTCCAAGTTGTGTCGGAATCCACACCGATACCTCCGCAAGGTAAACGCACAAATGCGGTTACGGGTAAAGCACCAAGTTTGCTAACGTCCATTTTATGCCTATTGAGTGGACTTGTACCATATAATAATACGTGAGCTTCCGAATGGCAAGCCTGTAATTCCTGCGTGGACGCCTTCCTGGGACGAAGACGGTCACATCGTTGCACTAATCCCGTTTCTAATAAACGTGCCCAGATACTCTGCAGTCGTCCTGCATGTTCCGGATGAGCTATATTATTCCCACATATACAAGAATGTTTTAACATTTGACTATCAAAGGCCAACCCGGTGGTTGGAGTACTAGACGCCCTCCTTCGCGTTAAAATTGGAGGGCCTGGCCCGCCTAAATGAACCACAGGACTACTAAGCGCACGAGACAGAGGTCGTATACTGTAACAAAGAAAATGATTAGTGCTACTTTTAGATATAAAATAGAATAGGAAGAAGGATAATGTAACAATGCAAATATACAGACAATGGCAGGTGGAACATATCCCCCCTCGACACTGCTCACAATGATACGAATTTTAAAGAATTGTATGATAAATTTTTTGATCATACAATCAATCTCAAACGTACTTCTATTGTGTAATACAGTGGCAACAATAGTGTTTCATTTTTGATTGGCGGTTGAGATCGGCGGCCATGTTGCATCGAGTTTCTCCTTAGTAACGGGCGATCAAAAATGAGTTGCTGTCGAGTCGCCTTTGGAAGTTCAAGTTAAGTACGATTTCCCATGTAAACAAAAGTTCCAAAGGTGACTCGACAGCAGCTCATTTTTGATCGCACAGTATATGATTATTGTGTATTGCATGTTGCTTACACTACAATCGGTATCGGTATTTGATGATTTCTAATTTGAATTTTTTATGAAACATGGCGTCTGGTCGGATCGTACATAGCTCCTAATGGCGCGACTGTCTCGTATAAAGTCGCTGTATTCTGTAAATCAGGTGTTAAATCGGCGCGAAAGTCTATTTTTGCTAGAAGGGACTCCTACGAGAACATAATAAATCTCATTTAAAGCGTTCGTCTTCATCAACTTTTCGGATTCATAAGTGTTGCCATCTGTACACAATTCGTTGAAATGTGAGGCTATGTTACTTCATGGTAAGAGTATGCGTAATATACAGGGTGTTTCACAATTGAATGTCAATATTTAAGGGGGAGATTTTTGGGTCCATTTTAAAGAGAATACTTCATATGAACCTATGTCCTAAACGTCATAACTTTTTGAGATACAGGGTGGTAAAGTTTTCACAAATAAATCATTTATTATTAATATCTGTAATGTAATACCACTTTAGATATTTTAATGAAATTTGCCATGTATGTACTATGTATCCAGAGGCATTTTTTAATGTACCACATTTTTTTCCAACCAGTGGCGTTCGTACAAAATTTCACATGCCCATTTTGGCAGACATGGATGGTACGCCACTGATTTCTCCACCAATAAACGAAAGCTTTAGAGCACAAAGAGTGATCAGAACGCCTTAACTAACGCACCTTTAGTAGACTAAGAAGTTAACACAACCTCTTACAAAATTTAAGCTGTTTCTTCCTGAAACTAATCAGCTTTTTCAGATTTACCAACTTAACCATAATCTCTTACGAATGAGGAAATATTAAGTCATAAACTCACATTTCGACGAAATTAGTCCCAGCTTTTTATTAAGCTTTTCTAAAATTTCGAATTTTTCCCGCAAATTTTGTTGTTGAAAACACTTAATTGAGGTACCCTCAGGTAACTCGGGGTCCGAATAACGTTATGTACCCTGTGAAGTGTTACTATTATCCTTCTTCCTACATTTTATATTCAAAGATGTTACTATCTATTCATCCAACAGAAATAGTTAGCTCCTCATGAAAAATTCCAGGCAGATTTAAATGAACATTTTTTTGTAGTTTTTGACATTGCTTTCAGTTGTCATTGCCGTCGTTGAACATCCATAAAGCCCATCACACAATGAAAAAAATAAGGAATAAGAAATATGAAATAACAAATAAGGACAACACTGTAATATGAAATAAGCCTAGGAAATAAGAAATAATAATTTCCGTTCAGTCAGTTTTTATTCCTTATTTCATATTGCGAACCAATGACATTAGAAGAGGCGCGCACGCGTATTCTATATTCATTATTTTACCTTGTTAACCTAAAATAAAACAAGTACGAGGTGTTTATTCATTTGTACCTTTATCAGCAATTTAATTACAAACAAAAAATTCAAGTTTGGACAACTTACCAGCTGTGTAATAATAACAATGAGGTTAGGAAGCATTCAGCACGTCATAAATTCAAACGGTATGAGTGTTCTGATTGGCTTATAGTCTGTTGCTATTTTTGTGTTGTTTTGCTTGCACGGCGTCACTATTTCTTATTCCATATTCCTTATTTTTTTCATTGCGTGATGGGCTTAACCATGAAATCTGTCATCCCGTTTTTGTCAATGGGCGCGTTCAGCCGTATTCAGTACTTACACAACTATTTCCAGCGCCATATTTGGCCTACCGAGGCCTACGATACTTACAGGCCAGAGCGCTTGTTGTATCTTAAAAGTACGCACTCTAAGATTGAAAAAGAAAATGTAAAAAGACAGTTACGCATCGCACGTCATTCATAATAACATTGTATAATTTGTTCGTTCATAAGTTCAGTTCTAATAAAGAAACCTTGTTATGTTCTTGTGTTCTACCATCCAGAAATTATAAAAGCGCTTGAAAGTCATGTGACCTTAGGAGTCAGTTCGGGACACATTAAATACATTACGACTTATGGAAAATCCGTGCGCGGCTCCACTATTTATTTTTTTACTCCGAATCCGTTTAACATAGAGCCCCGAAATTTCAATGAGAGCTGGTCAATGGTACAGACAATTAAATTACGGTGTTTGTTAATTTTTAGTAATACTGGAAATAGTTAATTTTAAGGTTTAAAGTCTTTGAAGATAAAACGACGATAGTAAATCCATGTTTTTCTATATCTCCACCGTCATATTTCTGTTTCTAGGAACGATATCATTATAATTCTTTCGGTATCTTAAACTAGAATGATATGCGCCTCCAATTATGCGTATATAATGCCTTATGTGGTATTAATGTAGATTTAACAAGCCCTACAAAATCGCGCATTAATTATCCGCGCAGAGCAAAATTCACCATGCGAGAAACTTTTTTGTTGTTGGTACAATTGTATCACATATATCGAATGAATTGTGACCAAAGGACACAAATATGTTTTTCAGAAGGAATTTTTAAAAATGCTCTTTTGTTTCCTTTTTTTCAGCAGTTTTAAGTAAATAGCGCGACTTCAGAAACACGCGAAGGCGCAATGGAAATTGTTATTTTTTAAATAATTATTACTAATGGACTTTCAAAAAGTGTTTCTAATAAACATTAAACCTACAAAAATTAAAAAAAATTACATACAGGGTTAGTTCAAAGTATGGACATTCTTTTTATAATCTCAGTAAAATAGTAATTTTACATTAATTTATTTATATGAAAGTCGCTTTATGACCAACCGAACCTTGCAGATATATTCGAGAAGTTACTAAAACTGCTGAAAAAAGGAAACAAAAGACCATTTCTTAAAAATTCCTTCTGAAAAACATTTTTGCGTCCTTTGGTCACAATTCATTTGATATATGTGATACAATTGTACCAACAATAAAAAAATTTCTCGCATGGTGAATTTTGCTCTGCGCGGATAATTAATGCGCGATTTTGTAGGGCTTGTTAAATCTACACTAATACAAGATAATGCATTATACAGAGTGGTGACTTGCGTCGCGCATCATAGGGATTTCAATGTAAAATTCATAACATGCCATTATTGGCTCCCCAAATTATTTTAGAGCAAAAATGTATTAAGGTTTTTTATAGACAACAATTTTTTACGTCAATCAACCGTTAGTTTCCAATTTTTTACATAATGAGGACAGAAAATTGGAAAAATAAAACCCGCATCTTTTTCAATAGTCTGTGATGCCATGGAATTTTCTAATACAAAAACTACGATCCGTCATGCCATGGAATGTGCTATAAAACAAATGAAATTCTATCAAAAAGTATTATATTTAGAACAGCGAATTCAACATAAAGAAAGACCAAATTACTAAAAACGGTTTCCTAATATAACAATTTACAATAAATGCTCGAATAAGTCATCATTAACTGCAAGACAGTAACCAAGTCGATCATAAAATCCATTTCGAACCGCTGCTAATTGATAACTGGACATCTTTTTGTTTTAGAAAATTCCATGGCATCGCAGATTATTGAAAAAGATGCGGGTTTTATTTTTCCAATTTTCCGTCTTTATTATGTAAAAAATTGAAAACTAATACGGTTTATTGACGTTTTGCTCTAAAATAATTTGGGGAGCCAATAATCGCATGTTATGAATTTTACATTGAAATCCCTATGATGCGTGACGCAAGTCACCACCCTGTATACGCATAATTGGAGGCGCATATCATTCTAGTTTAAGACACCGAAAGAATTATAATATCGTTCCTAGAAACAGAAATATGACGGTGGAGATATAGAAAAACATGGATTTACTATCGTCGTTTTATCTTCAAAGACTTTAAACGTTAAAATTAACTATTTCCAGTGTTACTAAAAATTAACAAACACCATAGTTTAATGGTCTGTACCAATGACCAGCACTTATTGAAATTTCGTGGCTGTATGTCAAACGGATTCGGAGTAAAAAAATAAATAGTAGAGCCGCGCACGGATTTTCCATAAGCCGTAATGTATTTAATGAGTACCGAACTGACTCCTAAGGTCACATCACTTTTTCGAGCGCTCCGGCCTTGTAAGTATCGTAGGCCTCGGTTGGACGTATTTTTAGTATACCGCTCCTAACCTAACTTTCTTGTTTACTTTTTCCCATTACAATTTATTGCCACTTACAGAATCATTCCTTTTCCATCGGCAAATTTCAATTGTGTCACATTCCCATCATTCATGGTGACCATAAGTATTTACCGATAAATAAAAAATTGAGTGTTAGGTTATGAAGTATAAACCAAAAAAATATTAGCAGGTCACGATACATGCGTGTGTTTATTCCCACCTTCCGCTGACAGTTCTAGTGGATAAGTATTTTCGCTTAGAAAAAATTGCAGCAGCTATTAAGCGTCAAATGACAGCTGCGCGTTTGGTAGTACCACTACAGTGGCGCTACGATAGCAATGGCCCGGATGAACGCACCCATTATTAAAATGCTTTGTACTTTAGTCATGTCATTAGCGCGAATGGCTTAACTTCATGTGTTGGGTGAATAGATATGACTGCACTCGGCACATTAACAGATATACCTTCTGGGCTCCATTCCGTGCAATTCTGCATCTCGTTGTTCTTGCTCTTCGGGTGGCGGAGGAGGGGGCAAAATAAGCGGCGGTCCTCCGCCGTCCAAAAGGGGATGACCTAGAGGAAGAGGAGACGATTGCGTACGACCCAGCGGACGAATAACCCCTCTCTGTGTCGGTTCTTGTAATTCACTAATTGTATCCAGGGGAGTTTCTTCGTGTTCGCTTTCAATGGCAGGTAATGAAGGGTAATATGGTAAGGTACCAGGTAGCATTTGCCCCGTCAGTGGCATCCCTAAACGAGCCGTGCAAGCCGCCCTTACGGCGGCCTCTGACAGGTCGGGCGACAAGACATGGTGGGCGGCTAGTGAAATATTTGGCATCGATGGGCTGCTGAAAAGCGCGTGCCGTTGATATTCTTCAGCTTCGCACGGCGGACTGAGTTCCTTGGGTGGCTCCTGTGGAGGTGAATCACTGGGCGGTAGGCAAGAACTTAGTAACTTCTTTTTTAAAGAAGGTGGGAGGTGTCGTTTACTCATCGGACTACAACGACGCTCCATAACTCGTTGTTTTAAACGGACTTTTAATAGATTTGGTTCGGACGCTGTAATCACATCCGTCATTAATCTACATTACTTACGTACACCATTTATGTTTCATACCGGTTTTTCTTAACGGAAAATCGCTTCCAGGGGGTTGATTGCAGCCTTCTATATCCATGCTTTCTGACCTGAAAACAAAATATCTGGATTAATATTGAGTTAGTCTGTGGATCTAATTCTAAAATTATTAGCTGAATCATTACATTTCACTGGACATTTCATATTAAAATGAAGGAGGATGGAATACCTTGAGTATTTTAGTTCGCCTTCAAACGGCGCAAGAAATTTTTACTATTCCTATATCCATAGTCAACAGCAGTATCATCCCCACTCTAATTCCGGCAATGAATTGAATCCTAGCGCCGCCAAAAACATAGATAGTGCCCGAAATAGTCCCGTTACACCAGGCATGTCAAACACCGTGAGCCACATGCGGCCCTCCGTTCTCAAACCTGCGGCCCGTCACGAAGTTTGCAAATCATAAAATTGAATTGTACCATGTATCCTATTTTGGTTGAGACTGCAGTGTATCTCAGCTGTTTTTAAAGATAGACACTTGTGCTTTTCGCGAACATGTGACACTTTTTTGTGAAACCACAAACAGAATCAATCTAGCTTCGTTTGTTTCTGAGATATCGGGTGCCGGCTCGTGTAGCGCAGTTCAGTTAAACATGGACTGCGGTGCTAAGGGTTGCTGGTTCGAATCCGGGTTCGGGCATGGATATTTGTAAATGTATAGTGGGTTGGGTTGGTAGAGTAGCCTTGGCTGAAACCCCGCCCACTCAAAAATAAAGGCAACATAAATAAATAAAAATGAAAAGTTTGACTTTTTGGGACGTTATCAGATCTTACTACCGATGTAAGATTAAAAAAAGGTACGAGTAAACACTGCCTATTTTAGATATTGTTACGTAGAATCCAATCGCATAGTAAAAAAAACTTTTGGACCACCGTTTGGCCCGAAGTTGGTATTTTTTAAATGCAACACCTTATATATTTTAACGTCATTTTTTGTGTGTTCTTTTTCTTAATTACATTGATGTATCACAATCTGTATTGTTTTAATTTGAGCGATGAAAATCAATAAAAACCTTATTTTTTACTCTTTTTAAATATTAGGCCATGGATTCATCGAGATTTTTATTTGTTTATTCTTGTATCCATGGTAACTAAGGCAGCCGATATTAACAATAAAAATGGTTGACGGTAGAAACATGATAATATAATAAAATAATATATAGGATGATACATCAATGTAACGGTACGCGTCAACTCGCCAAGGGCGACTCGCCACCGACTGACTCGCCAACGAGACAACTCTCCAACGGGACAACTCGCCAATGCGACAACTCGCCAACGGACGACTCGCCACTGCAACAACTAAAATTTGGCTAATCGGTCGGTGGCGAGTGGTCCGGTGGCGAGTCGCCCTTGACGAGTTGACAGTGTCCCTCAATGTAATCACGAAAAAGAATTAAAAAAATTGTACGTTAAAGTATACAGAGTGTTGCATTTAAAAGATACCAAGTTTGGGTCAAATCTCAAAAACGGTGGTCGACCATTGTTTGTTACTACGTAAAAATGTCTAAAATAGGCAGTTTTACCTTTTAACCACCCGCACGTTAGTAAGGGAGGTATTGCATAGGGGTAAAAAAATGACCCCTCACTTTTTTTTTTACTGAAATACACGTTTTGAGGTACCAGGAATCCGCATCAAACAAAATTTCGATGTCAGTCTGTCTGTGGGTCTGTCTACTCTCATTTCCGGGAACCAAATTTGGTACTCATATTTTTAGACATAAAAAAATGGGTGTATTTTTTCGTGTTTTTGTTTTTTATCATGTAGCCCCCCAGCTATATGTGGGTGGAAACCTTAAAATGGCCCTTGATGATAAATGAGCTTGACATGCCTGCGTTACACTGTATCACTTCGCTTATAAAACCCACAAGTTACTTTGATATGCCACTTGATTTTTACTACTCTCAGACCTGAGCTCAAACCGCTACATTTAAAATAAGTTGTGTTTTGTTTCGCTGGTAAAAATTGTTTATAATAAAATAAAAAAATTATATATTACTAACAGTTGCAAAATAACGCTTAGATATTTATTAAGCAGAGGAAAGCTATGCAAGCTTTATAGGGGAGTCAATGGCGTCCGTCTGTCCGTGAACACGATAACTGTCAAACGCTTGAACCTATTTAGTTCAAACTTTGCACAGTTGACCTATATACCACATGTAATAAGCCATGGGTAAAATCGAATGACTCCGTGACGTCACACCGAGGTGCTCTGCCGCTTTTTTAAACGCTCTTTATGGGTTTATTTTATCGGAATTTGTTATTCTATTGTCTGTTTTTGCCATTTTAGAAATTGGTTTGAATTGGTTAATTTCTCGGTTAATTTCTTGTTTAAATTTTATCATTCGTCTCAATTTAAATTACAAAGTGCGAAAATTGTGTTATTTAAAATTAAGAAACATCTGGTCGAGCGCATTTAAGTGCTATCTGCTCGGATGCGATAAGGACGAAAGTTAATTGATTTTTGAGACGCACGTGTGTTTGGCGCTGATAACAAACGGGAAAAAGAGCGTGTACTTTTCTGTACACTAATTTTTTCAAATACTTGACATTTCTGTTTATTTGAAGACGCAGTTTCCTCACATTTGGAATAATCTGCGCAGATGCAGTTAAGTTAAAGTTCGTGTAAACAAAACAAAACAAATGTTTCAAGTGTTCCTATGTGAATAGCCATAAGAAAGAAATTGTGTCCTTTTAATTCAACAAACCAGCTCGAGTAATTGAGTTCAGTGTAATGAAGAATGAAGTTTCCGGAAGCTGTCAAAGAGTGTCTTTGTGTTAGTGCTACATGCGTCCGAATATCGCACGACCGTTGTTTTGACCAGATTTAATGGATTTTTCAGAGAAAACTATACGTGATTTTAAGAGTTTCTTTGTTTATTTGTGTTGACGTGTGCGATCAAATAAACGGACTTGTGTCCCTCTTTATTTCAGATTTTTCTTGTTTATTTATTGCGTATGAGTTTCGAAATAAATCTAAACTGATTGTCAATCAATTAATTGTGTGTTTATTTGAATCCACTGTCCGATCCAGATAGAGCTCTTATATTCAGATTTTTATTTGTACCCAAGAATTATCTTAGGTATATATACTTAATAATTGATTTCTTTGAAATTTTCGGAAGGCTCCTAGATTATTAATTTTGAGTAATTATTAGGATTTTTGCTTTGTAGCAATGCCGAAGGTGAAAAAGGGGTCATAAAAATTATGAGTTTCCATTTTATCAAGAATTTTATTAATTATTTGAGCTACGTGGTCTGTGGGTGGTGTAGTTGACTGCACGCCATTGCACCCAATAATATGTTCGAAGATTATTAGTTGATTTTGGTGCTGCAATGCGAATAACTTAACCTCGAACTTAACCAAATTTAATGAAATTCTGGTCATTTTTGAAGCAAGAAACGCAGTTAGAATTTTTTGGGAAAAAAATTAGATACATTATTTTGATTTTCATGATACCAAATTCCAGATCCGGATGAGAATGATGGGATAGGAATTTTGGAAACATTTTTAAAGTCGAGGTTAAAGTTAGTAAGAAAGCCGCCACACTAGCGATTGACTAAGGAAGGCAAATCGACATTTATTTGCCTTTATCGTAAGGGCATAATATCAAACATTTTTTAAAATCGCTCCATAAATAAGAAAGTTAGTTGTGCACATGCGCAAATCCATTTCATAGAATGTTCACTACATTCACTTTTCTATTTATAGTTACAACATTGAGATGCGCTTGCGCAAAAACGAAAACTTATTCGGTATTCTTTTTCTTACTCCATCTGTTGAAACCTATTACATTAAAAAACTGCATATTCTACGAGATCCGAGTGGTGAAATGTCAAACTCCCAGACGGATGGACTTTAAGCCGTATTTTTTTTATTAAAAAATGCGCTAAAAACAGAAAAAGTACCTAGGTAAAACCTTTAAAAATTCATCCTTTTTTATCTGTTATCTCTGCAAAAATTGAGGGGGGGGGGGCACCTCCCACACAAAAAATTTCAGACACTCGGCAGAAAAAATTGATCGTTTTCTTCTCCATCACCCATTTTTTTCCATGATAAAAATTGTCCACCCTACGGCGACCTATACTGAGATCGGTGAAGTAGGCCGATATCGCGGCATCGGTTGATCCATATAAAAGAACAAATAAAATAAGACGAACAGTCTACTCACGTGTACAAATGACAACAGCACATTTTACCGGGTGACCCAATAAGACTGTTCCTCGGCCATATCTCGGGAACCGTTCGTCGTAAGGGGTAAAAAAATTATTGGGTAAATCGGTTATGAAGAATCCTGGAAAATATTTTCAAGTTCAAAAAATGACCACCAGAGGGCGTAATTACCATCTTAAATTTTAAAATTGCATTTTCTTTAAATTTCGCATAATAAACTAAACATTCTTTTTTCACATTTTTAAAGAGAACCAGTTTATCTATCATTTTCGTAAATACAAAAACTCAGTTATTTCAAAAACAAAGATGGTGTGGGGCGTTCAATTGTTTTTGCAATAACCTGCTTTAACTTCTTAACCGTTTGGCCGATTGTAACAAATTTGGTATCGTTGGAAAAGCATTCCTTGGGCAACAAGAATCAACCAAAATATAGTTATTTTAGTTGAATCCTTCTCCTCCAGGGGACTAGATTTGACACTATGATCCAAAATCCTAAAAAAATCAAATGGAAAGAGTAGCCAAAGAACACCCAAAGAGGCCAGTGAAAACCGTTTTTCAAAATATCATTCCTAACTTCAAATATTGGGAAAATGAAGATTAATTAATTAATAAAAATGCTTAAATTGTATCTTATTTGACGTATTTCCGGTATTTGTCGATGACACGAAAGATTGTTTGGAAAAGGACCCTACACTTTTAGGTAGGCCTTGGAAAATTAAACAAATGAAACACGATGCATTATAAAATAATAACTGCCGTAATTTGTAAATTATTCTGCTGTGTTTACATTCAGAAAGTGCAGTTTTTTGAATTTGTAATCTTTTCTAAAATGTCTATTTCTAACCAAGAAGCATATAATATGCTGGCGGCGATGG